AGACCAGCCCAGCGTGCCGGGCCCAGGAGGGCGTCTCAGTGGAGCCGATGTCCGCCGAGGTCGGTCCAGCAGACCCGAGAAAGGCTGCCTTGACCGGAGCCCAACATGCTCGTGGCGCAGCCCCAGCTCTGGTCTCGAGACCGGCCCTGCCTCCCCTCCCCCCCCGGACTCCCATCCTCACCAGCACCCCTGGCCTCTGCCATGGAGCCAGACCTGGCTGTCCGTGCCCAGGCTCGCCGTGTCTCGTTCGAAGTCGTCACAGTTTGGCTCCTCATCCCTTCACAAGACTCGCCTCTGAACCGATGCCCGAGAACCCAGGGGCTGCAGCGCCTTAACGGCCCCTCCAAAACTCTTCTCGACTCCACGGAGGCAGGCGGGCTTCCTGCAGGAAGTGACCTGAGACCCCACTCTGAAGGAGGACGATTAATCGGTGGGGACAGGGAGAGAGTGACGGGCAGAGGGACGCCCTGGAGGCAGGACGATGCAGCCTGGTGAAGACAGGAAGAGGTTCATTGCTGCCGGGCAGAGCAGGCCATGGCGGGAGTGGTGACAGCTGAGCAGAGAGGCCCATGGTGGGAACGCTGACAGGGCCGTTTGAGAGACAAATGGGCCGTGACAGCCGTGCTGTGAACGTCAGCCGTGGACAGCCAGGCCCTCGCCTGCCCTCTTCTTGAATATTCTCTGACCCCACGCTGCAGGGCGAGGGGCTCAGCCAGACCCCCAGACAGGAAGCTTTTTCCCTGAGGAGCTGGAGCAAGGAGTGGCTGTGGAACCCTCCGCTGGCCTCCTGTGGCCTTTAGAAAAATGGTCACCTTACGGAAGCCCACGCGGTCCCAGATCTGCTAGGCAGGAAGGCTGGGGCTGAGGTTGGTGGGGGAGGGCGAGGCGGTTAGTGTGATGCTGTGTCGAGCATCAGATTTGGTTGCCACCTTTTAATATGTGTGTTTACAAATATTTCAATTGTATTCAAACAATACGTGCATATATTTTCACTATAAAGACTCAAATGAAAATAAGTAGTTACAGAGAGCTGCCCCGCTCCCCATCCTTCCCAGAGAGAGCCATCGTCAGTGTGGGCTGCATCTTTCCATCCTTTTCTTAGGTATTTGGAAGGAAGCATTGAACAACTGTTCATCTTTGCCTTTTTTTTTTTTAGCTTAACAGTGTGTCTTAGATCAGGGGTCCCCAACCTGTGTGGCACCAGGGACCGGTGCTCCTCTGAGCATCTAATGCCTGACGATCTGACGTGGAGCTGAGGCGGTCCATAGCCTGGGGTTTGGGGACCCCTGTCTAATTTATAATAAGCAATGTTGCTACATTGTAATTCATTTAACTGTTTTCTAATTGATGGGTATTTAGGTTGTTTCCAGTTCTTCACTGTTCCAGGCAGTGCTGGGGTGAACATCCAGAACTTTGTGACAAGTCAATATTTCATAGAAGTGTCATTATCGAGTCAGAGGTTACATCCATTTTATCTGATTCTATCTTATCGTAGTACCAGTTTTCAACAGTAAACACGTGCGACTTTTGTAACTACGTGCAAGGGAACATTCGTAGTTAACTTTTGCTTCTTTTTAAGAAGAGATTAATGGAGTCTGACAACAATCTCCTCTTCGTCCAAACGGTCTGCCTTGTAAGGTGGCTGAGTGTGGCTTGCTCTGTTTAGTCGAGGAAGTACCGGCCCTGGCTTCTCTTGTTAACCTCACACGTTTCCCCAGAGAATGCACACTCGGGCACGTGCTCACAGCACACACGCTTGCTTCCTCTTACCCCTTCCTTTCACAGTGGAGGTGGCCACACAGGACAGCCCAGGTTCCCGCGATGGCGCTGGGCTCCAGCCAGCCTGCGACACCTTCTGTTGTGCTGAACCATCCCCGGACTAGGCTCTGGGCATTCAGCATGCAGACCGTGCCATCTTTCCAAAAACACCACTGCCTCTGGAAACGTCAGATGCCTCCGAGCTTAGCACCTGGTGGGAGGCAGGAGAGAAATGGGAACTCGAAGAGGCTACCGGAGTCCCGAGCAGGTTGTCAGGGAAGAGCCCCCACCTCCAGGGCAGCCCATATAAAAGTGCCCCAGAGAGCCAGCCAGGGCTGGTGGCCACTGCCGTAGACCACGGCGTGGCTGAGCCTCCCGCTCCGCCCAGTGCTGCCTCCCTCTGCATAACCGCCGGTCGGTCGGGGCGCCGACCAGTCAGACACTGTCGACACGGTAGGGTGACTGACCCTCTCCCTCTTGTCTCTGAATCGCTCCCCCGACCCGGGGACCCCCCAATTGCAGAACTTCCTCCGTTGCCAAAATAACAAGACCAACTACAACCTGGTGTGCGAGACGCTGCAGTTCCTGGACTGCATCTGCGGCAGCACCACTGGCGGCCTCGGCCTTCTCGGCCTCTACATCAACGAGAAGAACGTGGCCCTCATCAACCAGACCCTGGAAAGCCTGACCGAGTACTGCCAGGGACCTTGCCACGAGAACCAGGTAATTCCGTTTGTATTTGAGGGGCGAGGGGCAGGTGGGGAACGTTGTCATTTCGGAAGGGTCGTTGCCAGGGACGAGTTCAGAAGTCACGTAGCACCTGCCTGCTGCCCAGGCCATCAGTGTACCTGGAGGCTACCTTCCAGGAAGATGCCCTGGTTCTCTTTTGAGCTTCAGGAGTTTACCTGGTCGCAGGTGTTGGCGCTGTCCTCACTTGGCTCGGCTCGGCTTGGTTTGGTTTGACTGTCCGACTCTGACTTGACTGGGGTAGAGGTTAAAGCTGGGGTTATATTAAGACCGGAAGACTGGGCTCTATTTTAAATGCTAAGAAAGACTCAAAAAGTAGCTACTTAAGGCAAGAAGTTTAAACCCAGCTAGAGAGAGAAACCTCGCTACACATGAGACGGCTCGAAAGTCCTATGAGAAAATGCACGGTCCAGATCTTAACAGCACAGACATGCGGAGAAGAGAAAGGCCCGTTAGCTTTCACCTCGGCCTCTCAGGAGGCGTATTTTTTGAGCGGATCCCAGTGTCCCCTTGGGTCGAGTCGTTGCTTCTGCAGGGTATCTTGCAGATGCCGTGAGTTTTCACGTTAGTGCTTGGATGAGTACGATTTGTCACTCAAATTATAGCTGTATCCTGGCCAGAGAGGGTAGGCCAGTGCTTGCCAGGGCCAAGGAAGGTGGGGCGTGCCAGGTTCCCCCGGGGACGAGGCCAGAGGAAGAGTGGCTTAGGAAAAACCTGGTCTCAGTTGACCGTGACTCCGAGGCTAGCATCTGGTTAAATCCGCTTTTTACCCCAGTTCCCCGATGAGACCGAGGGTGTATATAATCTGATTGCAAATGAAAAGGAACCAAGAAATTACAACAGGCTCATGGGAAAAGGCTTTTATCTGACGTCTGAGTGAATTAACTTATAACCTCGGGTTTGCTTTTCTGCCAAACAGAGGTCCATGAAAAGGAACATGCCAGACTAGTATAACCTCGGGTTTGCTTTTCTGCCAAACAGAGGTCCGTGAAAAGGAACATGCCAGACTAGGGCCCACCACAAACGGGGATCTTATCGGGGCAGGGGAGGGGAGGGTTCGTTTTTATACGTGTGAATTAAACAGGTCACGGGCTCTCCAGGCGTCAGCTTTCAGTGAAAGTGCGCAGTGTGAAACAGAGTGACGCAGAGGGAACGGAACACGCCTCGAAAGGGCAGAACGGGGCTCGGGACCCAGGGTCAGCCACACACCGTGTTTCCCCTCACGAGCGTGCGCCACGGGCCCCGCCCCGCTGGAGGAGACGCAACCGATTACAGTGACGGGGACTTTCCTGCTGCTCACTGCTAATTCTGAAACTAGAGATTTTCATCTGTCTTTAATTTTTTTACCACTTTCTCACGGAAAATTCGCAGCTCAGCCCTAGAGACATTTCTGGGAGTGGCAAGCATTGCATTGCAATGGCCATGAAGCCTGTCGCCCTCTGAGGCCCGATTTACGACCAGTGCTTGTGCGTGTGTGTGTGTGTGTGTGTGTGTGTCTCCTCAGAACTGCATCGCCACCCACGAGTCCAATGGCATTGACATCATCACCGCCCTGATCCTTAACGACATCAACCCTTTGGGAAAGAAGAGGATGGACCTTGTATTGGAACTGAAGGCAAGTGGGAGTGGAAAGCAAAAGGCAGTGGCCCTCGGAGACAGTCACTCGTGTGTTTCGCCTCCGCACGTGACACGGTCAGTGCCGTGAAACTCGGTATTAGAGGCGGTTCTTTTCGACTACGTTGAAAGTTCTGACTGAAACGCAAAACTTCAGTCTTTTCCTCCCAAAGAAGGGTCTGGTGACCGGAGAGCAGCTAATTAGCTCCGGGGTCACAGCAGCCGAGCACTTGTCACTCGCGTCTGGGGGACTAATGAGAGCAGGACCTGAGCACTAAAAGCCTCGATTCTGAAAGGCACAGACTGGGGCCCAGGGGACGCGCCCCCCGCACCCTCCCCCCATGGTCTCCGGTTGTCCCCCCTTTGAGGAAAAAGGGCCAGTTGAATAACCGTGCCACTGAACCCATGTGGGGCCGAAAACTGCTATTTTCACATGATCAGGGAAGACCTGTTTCTGTTCTGCTGTCGCTGTATCAGACGGTGGCTCCTCGGTGGCAGTGGCCCTGTGCCTCCTGGCCTCCGACCAGTTTTTTTGAACCGTGACGGAAGGCCAGCGTGGAAACACCCCCGACTTGACGCCTGCCTGTTGTTCCAAAGCAGCTTCAGGGAGCGTGAGCGCTGGCTCCAGGTGCCTCGGCCGCTGCGTCTGCAGGCCGGCCCCTTGGACGTTTGAGAAGCCGGTCATGCCCTTCCTGATAAAAGCCTGGCTTCTTAAGTATACCCAAACACACGAACAAGCCCTCACCCTGTTTAGGGGTTCCCAAGATTCTCCAGGAGTTCAAAAATTCAGTTCTGGGCCTCGGACTTGCCGCCCAGCCTGGCGTCTAAAGCGCATTTCGAAACGTGTTAGCCTCACTGAGCACATTTCGTTTTGAACCGTCCCCAGGTCGGGGCCTGTTGAGATCTGTCCTCTCTCTCACTCCTGCACAGCGAGCACTTTATCACTGTCCCGGAAGAGCCTAGAACTAAAGGGTTTCGCCAAAAAGCGGGTCTGTGCTTATTGCATGAACAGCAGCGCGGGAAAGCAGGGTCAGCAGGAGGCGTGAACAGGAGCCCAGGGGGACGGCACAGCTTTACTTTGCCCTTAGTGTTTAGAACGGAGAGTCCACAGAGAGGGTCGATTTGGGTGCGCGGTGCCCCGTGCTCGGGGAGGAAGGAAGTGTCGCCCTGTCCCCAGAGCAGCAGCCCCCCCCACCCCCCCGCGGAGGAGCACACAGACCGTCCCGGGCCCCGGGCCCCAGGCCCCAGGCCTAGCGCAAGGTCAGGCCGGGACGTGCAGGTGTGGACACGTCGACGTCGTGCCGGAGAATCGCGGCCTGGCCCCCAGCGCGCCCCCGCGGGGCACTCCAGTCGACTGGTGTCACTTGTCCTCGTGACGTGAGGGCTCGGGGGGCTGACGGCAGCACTGAAGACAGTGGGGGTGACCTGCCCGCCTGCCGTCTGCGCCTGCGGGGCTGAGTCAGAGCCAGCACCCATGGGCGGCAGGAGTCCAGGTCGCGGGTCCTCCCTGACCACCGTCACCGCAGGTGTCCCCGCAGCACCCCGTCGAAGTTCCCCGTTTCCGAATAGTAGGGAGACACTGTGCGCAGGCAGACGTTGGCCTCGGAGGCCCCGATCCTGCTCCGCAGACCTGCCCTGGGGTCCGAGTTGGTCCAGGGAGGGTCCGGCCGCGGGTGGTTTGTGGCGTGCCTGGCCTGTGGCTGCCCCAGGGGCTGAAATGTGTTCCAGCCGCCACTCCACGCAGCTCTCTGCCCCCTCCTCCCTTCTCCCCCAATTAGAATAACGCCTCCAAGCTGCTGCTGGCCATCATGGAGAGCAGGCACGACAGTGAGAACGCGGAGAGGATTCTGTATAACATGAGGCCGAAGGAGCTGGTGAGTGGGGGGCCGGCCCCCGGCCGCGGCGCCGATGCCCCAGACCAGCACTGTGACAGGGACGTGGGATCCAGGCCCCTGACCAGCTGGGTGGGGAGTGCAGTGCTCCTCGGGGGGAGGCCTCCGCCCCCTCCCTCCACGACCAGGTGCGGTCTTGTCCCTGGCCTTCCTCCCTCCTGGGACACGGCACGGGATGGAGCCCGCAGGCTGAGCCAAGGGCCCTCCCTGGCTCTGCCCTTTGGCCAGGTCGCCTTGGGCTGGTGCTTGACCTCTCTGAACCGCACCGTCCTCACCCCTAAAAGGAAGCCGCGGTGTCACCCGGTGCAGTGGCTGTGCTGGGGTCACAGTCCTCGGCAGGCCCAGCCGCCCGCTCGCCGTCCACCCTTCGCACACCGCGGCCGCCCTGCCTCCTCGTCCGCGGCGGCCCCGCCCTCCGTGTCCGTCAGAGCCACAGAAGTCACTTCTTTTCTTGGTGCCAATAGTCTGGGCAGCAGAGGACTGTTTGGGGGTGCTGACGTTTTGTGTTTTTTTTTTTTTTGAGAAAACACACTCTTGTTTATCTTGGGGGGTGATGTTCAAAATGGGCCGTGCCTCCCGGGCGGGGCGTTGGCACCGCAGCCGGCGACACCAGCAGCAACCAGACAGCGAAGCGAGCCGAGGACAGAGCTCCCGATTTGGACTTTTTCCCACGCAGATAAACTGTAACTGACAGACCTAAATGAGGGCACTAAAACTCCTCTGCCGCCTGCGACCTAAGGTGCACTCGTGGCCCGGCCGAAGTCCCTTTGTGTGTTCTTTTAAACGAAGTTAACAGCGAGCTCACTCTTTGATCTCAGAGGTCAGGGCTGAGTCGTAGCCCGTGATGCAAGTCATCCCGAGCTTACGTAACCGCTTATGTAA